TCTCTTGCCCCGTATTTGTGACTGTGGTTTGGATGAGGAAATATGATCTTGGTGGAGCGGGTTGCACGCCGCAACAATGATATTGAGGATCGGGTTGCACGCCGCAACAATGATATTGAGGATCGGGTTGCACGCCGCAACAATAATATGTGAGGGTCGGGTTGCGCGCCGCAACAATGATACATGATAAATGATATGGGTCGGGTTGCACGCCGCAACGGTGGTATTTGTGGAGCGGGTTGCACGCCGCAACAATGGTAATTATAGAGCGGGTTGCACGCCGCAACAGTTATTTGATGCCCTGTGTTTATATTGAGTATTGATTCCTCGTTTATGGTGGATCTAAGTTGCTTTAGTTTATTACCCTGGGTTACTGTTAATATTGTATCTCCCCATAGCATGTTTCCCCCTCCCATATTGTTAATTGCTTTGTATTCGATTTTCGCTATATATTTATAACTGCACAGGTTTATGTGGTGTCCAGTCTAGCCTCGTCACTACTTCGCCGGGGTTAGGCTAGACACTTACCAGCACATGGGGTCGGTTGTGTTGATGCTACGCTTCTGTGCATTTTTGCACAGGTCCTGGTTCTGAGGAGCAGCAGCATCATTAGCACGGGAGCAGGCTTTCATTATCACGAGACCGAGGTAGCCTTGCAGGCGTCCGCAGGCCCGACGTCTCTTCTTTATGTTCTCTTTTAGACTGTTGCCTCCTTGTCTCGAGACAGACAGCTTCTATGTTTTTTTCAAATCTTTGTATTTAGTATATTTTTAGTGGTTCGTGAGTGATGTGACACCAAAAACCTTTTGTCAAATCTTTTCCAACGCAAGTAGAGGGTATTTTTAAAATATTAACACCTACTCGGTTTAGTGGAAAAATAATCATTTCGGAACAGATAAAAACTGCTAAAAATCAAATAAAAGGGAATGGAGGAGGTACAATTTATGCCATTTTGTAGATTTCTAGAACTATCTTGAGCAAAAAATAACTCTAATAATTAGTGCAAATTAACATACAAGTTTTGGTACAAATATTATTATTCTTATGAATAATGCAATCATGATTTCTTAATTTTCATCAAGAAAGCAAGCCGACTTACTATGAAATATGAAATACACTTTACTTTAAGGATATAACTACAGTTACCTACATAATTGTTACTATTATTAAACACTAGTTTAAGAATATGTACGTTGTGCGTGTATTTTTATCTCAATAAGAACAAATTTTTAAAAAAATTATATTGAATTTCTTATTGAATCATGAAATATATGTCAAGAAAAAAATTTAAGTCCCTAAAATTGATGGTTCTTGATTCTATTTTGCTACTCAATAAATGAAGAAACTTTGTTTGACAGGAGTTCTTAGTCATCTCAGTCAATATATTTAACATGAAGTTTATTTAAAATTTATAATTTTATTACTTAATTTTATAAGTCATGCATCCTTTTTAGTTTTAACAAGATCATATAACTTTGAAGATTTAGAATTATTATATTAATATTTTCAAAAAGTTATATAGTCTTATGTTAATTCTAAAAAGTCATAAACATGACATCATCTAACTGACATAAGACGTTAATACTATCCTCGAAGGAGTAAAAATATGAAATTCATGTAAAAATCAGAATTAGAACTATTTCTTTTTTATAATCAATTCTCAGGGATTTAGTGTGAAAATTCTTGTGTTTGTATAATCAATTTTTATATTTTAATCGGGACGTATTAAAAGTTAGTCTAATTTAATTCAAAAAGAACATTATAATTGTTTTTAATATAGTTTCATGAGAAATTGTTACCAAAATAATTTTCTTGTATATTTTTCTGATTTTTTGTAATCAATATTTTTATTTTGGCATGTTTATTAGAGTGCTCATAATTAAACGGTCAAATTAAAAAACCAAAATTGGCATTCCTAATTTTCTCGTAGCAATGTATGTGCACGTAGTATAGAACATACTACTCTATTTAAATTTGGTTTCAGCCTCATTCAACTCTCTAAAAAAATATTTAAGGAAAGTTGTGTAAGACTATAAATATTTAATTAGAATTAAAAGCTAAACTGGTAATAACATGGACCATCGTGTGAACAATCGTGGTTATATTTTTTCGATCTATATAAAATAACTTTTTAATTGATTTTAGTGTCCTCAATATTCAGATTTTCTACTTCTTCTCGTACCCTCTAAAGCCAGCCGTTCACACTTCTTTACCGGAGCATCTGGGCTTCTACTCTGTACGTGCCCGAACCATTTGAGCCTCGCTTCCCGCATCTTGTCATCAATGGGAACCACGTCTACCTTCTCCCGAATATCATCGTTCCTAATATTATCCATCCTAGTGTGCCCGCACATCCACCTCAACATCCTCATTTCTGTTACTTTCATCTTCTGGATATGTGAGTTCTTAACAGACCAACACTCAGCCCCATACATCATGGTCGGTCTAACCACTGCTCTATAATATTTATGTAATACAAAAATATTATCCAAATGTCTACCGTAATACCAAAGTTTATATTTAAACTCATACTTGATATTTGCACCAATAAATGAATGTATTTGCATAAAAAATTTTACTCTCGTCATTTCAATTTATGTGAATGTATTTTAATTAGCACATATAAAAAAATAAATTTATAATTTTAAACTAAGTATAACATTTGTGGGGCTATAACTTTCTTTAAACTTGTGGTGTTAAATATTTTTAAATTTATAAAATGATCATTATTTTAATTTGTAGCTTGTTCAAATATTTGGTTTAAGGGCAGGCAAATAATTTTTCTTAGCATATTTTAGCGGGCGTTTGGACATAAAAAATGTAAAATTCTAAAAAAAGTAAATTTTTTTCCAAGTAAAATTTGTATTTGAAAATTAGAGTTGTGTTTGGACATAAATATAATTTTGGGTTATTTTTGATTTTTTTTGAGTGATCTGACTGAAAATTTTGAAAATCAGCTTAATTCATCTTCGAGTAAAAATTGAAAATTTTATGGCCAAACACTAATTTTGAAAAAAAAAAAAAGTGAATATTTTTCCGAAAACAATGAAAAAAAATTCATGGCCAAACCATTCGTAATATCCAAGGGTCAAAGTATCCTTAAGTAGGTAATAACCACTAGTCCTAGGTGTAGAGAAAGAACAAGAAGGAAAGTGACCTTATCTGTACTTGGCTGCACAAATTACTCCAAAGTAGGACTAGGAATTGCAATAAGCAAAATGGCTGAAAGCTGCAGTCAGTCAGTCAGTCAAGTACTTTTACTTGTCTCCTTTTTGTTTTGCCTCTTTCCTCTCCCATATTTGACTATAAAACACCCTATTGTTCACAAAGAATCACTGTTACTAAAACACCAAAATCGTGCTAAGGATAGTGTTGTTTGACAAACCAATTAATGCATTCCTATTTCAATGAAAACATCGTACTTCTTTACTATTTCCTTTCAGTGAAAATATGCAGTATTTGAACTACTCGACACTGTTAAAGATTTGGTGGGGTTGAGGGATATGGCCTATAGGACAGAGACATTATCCTCTCACGTTAACTGCCATTCCCAGCTTTGCTTATTTTTGTTTTGACTATTCCTATTTTAGCTAACACACAATACCTGTACCATATAATATCACAATCTCTTTCAAAAAGTAACCAGCTGCTCTTTTCCTTTCTCTCAAGTCTCAAGTCTGAACTGAACAAATAGGAGGATGTCTTTGCCCGTAGTTGATGCTGGACAAGGTCCTTCTTTTTCTCTTGTCGAGTTCGCATTGGAAAAAGTTTTTCTGGTTTCATTTTGAAACTTGCTTTTTGGTTTGACTTCTGAAAAAAACAGCCCCTCAATATTTAGGAGTTGATCCAAGATTATCCGTTAATCTTCTATGTTTATCAAAATTGAACACTTCTTATCTTTTATGTTTGTCAAAGTTGAGCACTTTTAATCTCCCATTATATTTAATACACACAACAATAGTTATCTTATGCTGAATTAGCTCATTAAGAAACACATGAACTGCTTCAAAGAACCATTGAGGCGCATTTCTTATGATTCATTTCTGCCCAGTTGTATCGTAAGAAAAACCTTAAGCAAATTCAACCAACCATATGCTTCCCTTTACTTAATATTTTATGAAATAACGAATGAATCAATGTTTATATCTTTTTTGAACCTTCACTAGCGTCATTTTTTGTCGAGATCCTAAAGTTAGCATATTTCTTTAAAAATATGAATTGAGAGAAATAAATCCGGAAGAAATCCATTCCAATAGTGTTTTCAGTTCAAACTCTCATGTGCTTCTCACATGTCGATTCCGTCAAGGATTATTTTCGTCACCCAGTTTGCTCAAGCCTTTGCCTGCATTTGGATATAGATTTAACTGAAACTTAAAAAAAGAAAAATTTTTAACTGTATTTGAACATGCATTTTATTTGAAATTCTTTTTTTTTTAAATTTCATGAGTTAGAAAAAATTATCATCATAGAAACTTCCCTAAACCAGATTTTGGGAAGCTAAAAAAGAAATTCAATTTTTTTCAAAACTAATCATATTCCATGAACAAACAATAATTTTGAAATAAAGTCGTCAAAAACTATAACCAAATGGGAGCTATAACTAAAGGACTACAACAACATACCCAGTATTATCCTACATTATGGGGTCTAGAGAGGGTAGTGTATATCTAAAGGATTATTTTAAATTAATTCCCTAACACAAGTAATTTTGTCATGTCCTCACTTTTGAAAGACGTCGTGTGTAAATGGTTTGACCGACTTTTTCTTGCACATTCAGAACACTTGCACTTCGAATTATTTTCAAATAAATCATACTGTAAATATTCAAATGCCAGTTGCAAACTCCGCTACTAAGAGGAACGAAGGATCTCAAGTGTCCGTGGAAATGAAACTAAATTGTACGACTTTATAATCAGTTACAGTTCTTTTCCTCTGCTCTGGCTATGAAACTCCATATGGAAAAGGGTTGACATAGCCTAAATTCTGGTTAGATTATCACATATGCAAGCTTTTCCAAGACTGCTATTTGAAAATTTTCTGAATGAAGATTGTCAAAAATATCAAGTAAATTAAAGTCACTAAGCAGTTATCTTAGTTACACCCGAAACATATGATTCCAACAGCAATAAAAGAAAAACAAACTCAAAAAACCTATGACAATAGATTCTGGTACTATGACTTCAAAAAAAATTAAGAATAGGATCTTAAGGAAAGTCGGGGGAAGCTTAATGTCCTGGAAGTGCCAGAAATACCTCTCAAGCCGCTGTCTGTCATTTCAGATTCTCGATGAAGCTACTCATTTCTGAGAACATTCTAAAATCAAACTCCATAGTTCCTTGATGCTGTAGTAAAACGTAAGCGAAATTCAGCTTAGTTAGTTTTCTTTTCGTCTTCTTTCAGTGCTAAAGTTTCTGAACTACTAGAAGCTTGATCCGTATCCTCCCCAGCGAAACCAAACTCATTCACTCGTTTCTTATCCACTGGATAGACCCATCTCTGATATAGGTATATTAAAAATATAAGATCTGCGTGGCAAAGACAGATGAAACATTAGTAACCCAATTGGATGAAAGCTAATGCATATAATAGAACCACACAAACGCATAGAACGCTTGCAATAATAGACTTCTAAAACAAGATGACCACAAAAATTAGTGGCTCAACTATATCAATTAGGCTGGAGACAAATGTAAAAGGAACAGTAGCATCCAGGCAATGTCTGCTCACTGCTCCTTTGGTTTTCACAAAAAACAGTATTACAAAATGGTCAACTGAATCCAACATATAAGCTGCTACAATCAAATAACCAAGGTCATCGTTTATAATGGTTAAAGATTTGCTCGAGCTTCTGTTAAGATGTTTATAGCAACCAGTATTGAAGTCTCAACAATGAGAACACAGACTTAGCATCTTAAAAGATGTTCTTATCTAGCTGGTCACTTGATTAACCAAGAAAGTCCCAAGACCTTGGCGTTGGTGTCGTAATAGAGAGGTCAAAGACGGTCAATGAAACTCTCTAAAGAGTCTGTATTATGTTCTATGGCTTTGAGCTTATGAAACAACATTAGAATTCAAAGTAACAGGCAAAACTGGCTTGGATTCCAACGGTCAGAGAAGAACGGCCGCTACTTAACCAAATAAAAACAACCAATCAACTACAAAGAATCTTATTTCAAAAACTTACCATCACGGAACACAGACAGGCGATGTAGCAATGGCATTTTTATTACAAATGCAAACAAATCATCAATAATGGTATTGAGAAATTTGTAAGTCATCTGCCTCCAAGGTAAATGAGCAACAGACTTCAGCTTATAATTGATGAACAACTGGGGACACATCATAACAAAACCTGCAACAATAAGAGTAGAAAATAATAAATTACCAAGAAGCAAAGCGATAGGAGTATATGCTATCAGAAGTCCTCGCTTTAAATGTTTTTAAGAGTACAGGCTTCTAGAAAGATGATCTGAAAATGTTTATCACATTGGGGAACTGATACAAGGCTTTGAACTACATTACTGAGATCTTAAATACAAAAAGATAAAAGATGAAAAGACCAATAGAAACTTACCGAACATATAGACGCAGCTTGTCATGGATGAGAGGATCCACGAGTACCAACTCTTGTGACGTTCATACATTAGAGAGTATATGGAAAAGCACACGACAAGGAAGAACAACACATAGGACAAATACTTCATGGCAAGATCATCATATTCTTTCGTCTTATTTCCAGCATACGATTCCCGATCTCGGAACCTCAACATAGGTATTCTACCAGATCTGTCAATCTAGAAATCAAGGACAATTAACAATAGAACTGTTGGCGGTTTGAATTTATGCTTAATCAATCACAGTATGTAAAAAGGCATCAACAATGAAGAAGAGATTAAGAAGTTTGAATTCTCAATTTCTAATCTCTACATAGTTCTAGTAGGATAGCGATGCACGCACATTTGATTTGTCTTAAATACCTTATTAGCACACTGACAAAACATTGATAGGAGGGGCTTTACTGTCTTTTTACCACAATCTAAACATGGTTGTCCTTTTCCTTTCTCTTTTCTGCGTCTCCCTCGTCAATGGTGACTACCCAAAATAACAAACATAAAATTGGGAAATAAATTAAAGACAAACAATAGTTTCTCTTTTCAGAACCATTTGGCTGACGAGAATGTCCTTTTATTGTTCTTTCCTGCTCTTTTAGAACCACTAGTTTTAACTCCGACCTCCATGGAAGTGTTGTTGGAGGAATTGTTATTGGGCTTTGAGGTATTCAAATCAGATTTGAAATTAACATTTTTGATGTTTTGAAGAAGCAGAGGAAGAGCAAAGCTTGTGGAGTGGAACTGATATGAGATTGGAATTGGAGATGTCTGATAATGGGTCTCTTTCTTGTTCAAGGATTTAGAGTTGTCTGGGTTATTTCTTTCAGTAGCCACATCAATCTTCTCTCTTTTCCGCTTTCACCATGAACGACAGCGAGAAGTAAAAAGAACAAGAGGGGAGAAGATATCTGGGTTTAAGATTTTATATAAAGACAAAAAAGCCCCTATGATTATGCTTGATTACTAGTCAATGAACCTAGTAAATAAGAAAACATTTCGGAGGACTGAGATGCTCAATAAGATTACCAAAAAAGGGCAGGAAATATCAATAAAATTTTGCCTTGAACTTCCAATCACTCTAACTGTCTAAAGCAAATAGAGGAAAGAACTAACGACCAAGCACCAACATGAAATTAGAAGACTTTATTAAAATGACGCCAAATGACAATTAAAGAACTGAACGAAAATTCATCTATATTATTAGTGATCATACCTCAATGTGCATCGCCTTCCCTATTTTCCAGAACTCTATACAACAACCAATACCAGAACTTGCAAGTATCATCCATGAAGTATCATTATCAAGCAAGTACAGGAAGACAATGAGCTGGCAAATAAAGTTCACGATGACTGATTTTGCAGACAACCCTTCCATGGATTTGTTTTTATTCCAAAATTGAATATCTGCAAGGAAAGAAAACATATTTATTCTGAATCCGATCTACTGCACGCTTCCTGTCATTTCCTAGGAAGGCCCAAATGCTCAAAGCAAAATTATATTTACCATTCTTGAACGCCAAGAAGTCAAATACTGAATGCAGTAGTGAGACCATCATGGTCACTCCCAAAAGGTATGGATTTCCTTCCAAAAAAACTCTCTGGAAAAAGTGCAATAAATCACGTGACAAACACATATATAATAGTTGAACTGTGTGACAATAATGTATGTTGATAAAATTTCACATCATGACCACAATGATCTAAAGCAGGACTCTATATGTTAGTTTTAACTTTTGGAGTTGGAAATTTTATAGATATTTACTGGAGGCAGACATGCAAATTGGTACTAATAAAAGAAAGAAGTATAACAAAGTAAATTCAGATAGAAAAGAAGTATGCATATTCTAGGTAATAAACAGAATATACACAGATAATGTAATACACAGATAATGTACTTTTCCTGGTTTTCCAATTTTTGCAACGTCTAGTATATTCTTGAGCATTGTGGTGTCTGTATAATATTTACATCTATCTACACACTTTTCAGGCTTAACTACAAATAACTTGCATCTGGATATTTCATGTGCAAAAATGCTTTTCCAATGCATACATAGTACCCCAGAAAAAGTGCAATAAATCACGTGACAAACACATATATAATAGTTGAACTGTGTGACAATAATGTTTGTTGATAAAATTTCACATCATGACCACAATGATCTAAAGCAGGACTCTATATGTTAGTTTTAACTTTTGGAGTTGGAAATTTTATAGATATTTACTGGAGGCAGACATGCAAATTGGTACTAATAAAAGAAAGAAGTATAACAAAGTAAATTCAGATAGAAAAGAAGTATGCATATTCTAGGTAATAAACAGAATATACACAGATAATGTACTTTTCCTGGTTTTCCAATTTTTGCAACGTCTAGTATATTCTTGAGCATTGTGGTGTCTGTATAATATTTACATCTATCTACACACTTTTCAGGCTTAACTACAAATAACTTGCATCTGGATATTTCATGTGCAAAAATGCTTTTCCAATGCATACATAGTACCCCAGAAAAAAAGAAGTAAACTATACCTTTAGTTCATCAGACTCCCCCTCGAGCATGCTACCATAACTACGATGAACCTGGAAGGATTGGTCAATCTGCAGGAATAGCTGCCATTTCGTCATGCTCATGGGGCTCACCTCTAAATGCAGAGGCACCTCAGTTACTGATTCATTGAGAGCTATTAATTTATCCCTAAGTAACCAAAACTCGTTGAAGAAAACGGTCGGATAGTAGTTTCCTGTTGTGGGTTCGATATTCATATCTAACAAGTCAGGTAAAGGAATTCAACTGTGGGAAAATATCTTTTGCTAACAAGAAGAACAGATGAAAGATGCCAACTCACACAGAATTAAATAAAAGAGCAAAGAAGATAGGATTTAGCATGAAGGTAATCATAAACTTGCGTGAAACAAGTTTACCAATTTCTTCCACAAGTTTAATCGAGCTGCTTCTTGCGTACTGCAGAAGTATCTAATATTGCAGCTTATTTAGCACAGTACAGTGTGTTAAAGGAACCCACAAGAAGAATAAATACACATAGGCCATAAAACCAAGGATACAAGGAGCAACAATAGGTGGAATCGCATTTCCAGTGTATCTGCAAAAAGGAAAAGAGCAAAGAGTGGAAAAAGAACTGAATGTTAGAATGTATACATTAGAAGGAAATACAGTTAAACAGATCAGAAAGAGAGGCAAGTATGCATACCTAGTAAAATCATCAACCAAGTTGATTGTAACATTAGGTTTCCAATATGAAATCCACTCAACAGGAGCATCCTCCTTAAGATCATCCTGTGCTTCTTGAACTGCCTGAGAAAACTGCTCATCATACCTCATGATCATATGGAATTAAAACCTTATATGGTGACGAAAGGAACGATAACTCATATAGGAGCAAACAAAATTTATTACACTAAAATGTGAAATAGTCAAAACAGTCATTCTGCTGGCTCGGGAGTTGATGTCATAATGTGAAATAGTCAGAAAGATTATTCTGTTGGTTGGGATCCGAAGTTAAGAATCTAGAGGGTATATTTGAGGAAAACTGAGGTAGGGAAAAAATTACTCAGACATTAAATGGAGAAACGAAAGATTTGATGCTTAAGCCATAAAACAAGCCCACAGATATGCATACGCACACACTCCAAATATAAAAAACACAGGTGTACCTCAGGAATGGTAAGACCCTCATTTGAGTCCTCAGAATTTTTTAAAAGGCTCTTCTTCTTGTCTGCTTTAGATTTGGGTAAATATTTCACAACAGCTGAGTTCACAGAAACAGTACATTAGAATTAGGTACTTAAGGAATTCCACCTTCTACCACCATAGGTAAGGACAAAAACTTAACAAGATAACATGATCTTACAATATGTCTGTCCAAAAGCAGCCAATGGCTGATACTCGGGATCATTTGGATCGGGTGAATACCCAGAACGTGCAAAGAAAACATGAGCATATAGACTCCCATTATGCTTCACTGCCTGAGAGGAAAAATCATAGGCAACCAAGTAAAGATGAGTACTGTGCCACAATAAAAGTGCAAAACAGGGACGCACATGCATTCAAAAGCGAAAGACAGTATCCTGAATCAATTTTTTCTTCTAATTGAATAAGACACTTCAAAAGGCAGTTAATGGTACCTCTGATGGATTATACTTCAAAGAAATAGACCTGGTACTTTCTGGTCCCCAAACTGCATATGGTATATTTGTCTCATGCCAAATAAGTGCACTTTCACTGCCAAAGTCACTGAATTTTTCTTGTTCGGAAAGATAGAACCACATGTCCTATAAAAAAGCCATGCCAGAAAGTTTCAAGTAGAGCATAATTGTAGTTAAATAAGATATGACGTATTCACAAAGCACTTATAGGAAATACCTGGCATTATCGTGTAATGGAAAAAAGAACTAAAGCCCCCCACCCCAAAAAAAAAACCTCCTATTCCTCAATCCAGTGCAGTCTACTGCATTAAAATTTTCTCAATTGCTTTATTTTCATTGCACAATGACAGACTTTTCAGCTTTTTATAAAGTTTATGTTATTTTATTAGCAAATGGATAAAACGGAATAGCATTATGTAGGTATAATAAGTTTGCTATTATCTCTGAATGACACTATTTGAACTTCTTTTATGCGGTAAACGTCAAGCGCCCTAAAGCCACTCCCTTCCTAGGGGCCAACATTGGTTTTCCCACTTTGCTCCCCTTTCGTGACTCGAACTCCCAGCCTCTTGGTTGTAAACGGAGTGTTCTTACCACTTGAGCAAATCATTTTGCCAATGATGCTAGTTCAATGTTTAAAGAAACGGTAGTCGATAACAGCTTGCTATAGGATCTCCAGTGATAAAATACAACCACAAGACAAGAATCTATTTCTATTTCCTCTTTTCTATCGTTCTCTACTTATGCCTTTTCTTTAGGCATGGGCGAAGAGGGGGATTATTGAGGTAGCAAACTCATAAGAATTTCATGGGACAAGTTCATATCAATCGCAATTGCAAACAAAACAAGTACTTGTCCTCGATCTTTTTTATATAATCGAAAAATCCCCAAGGACAGTTGATGCACGGTACAAAACTCAGTAAATAATGGGCTTGCCCTCTACCTTCTCCACTTAAATACCAGGCTTTTGCAAGTGGCGTGGTTCAAACACTACTTGTCCTTGGATCTTACAGAATTATATCCATCAATTAAAATATCTTTTGCCGTGAATCATTTTTCACACTGGGCAAAAAACACAGCTTAGCAGCAACTCCGTTATTTCGCACATCACTTCCAAGTTTGCACATCACTCTATTCCCTAACTCCGTTTCCCAGGAAATAGTGTTACCATTGAAACAACAAAAGTTGTCTACTCTATTGCATCAAACTTCAGCTAAATATCCATATGCAAAATTAGGAAAATAAATGGTTAAAGATTGAAAAATACAAAGAATATTTGAAGTTGAAGTCGGAAAAAGGGTATTTGGAAGTTGGGTATTAAACATGAATTTCAGTTGGGGGAAAAAAAGTAAGTTTTATAAGTGCAAATCATATTTCACTTGAAGTACTCCTCAAACCAGTTTTACAAACTTCAAAATCTATAGTTCGAGTTGATATTGAAATTGACAAATTGTAAAACAAACACTGGTTTGATTTCTTCTTTTTTTTAAAATTCCAAATGTTATCTATGGACAAACAGCAAGGTCTGTGTGGAGTACACTGGGTATCCTGTTGATGTTGTTGGTGGTGGACAAACCCATCTACGGGAATACACTGGGTATGTTGTTGGTGGTGTTGGACAAACGGCAAGTTACATGCAGAAAGGAGAAAGAAACTATCTTTCTACGTTTAGCTGTTGCTCAAAACTTAAGAATCAATCAGTTTCAAATTCAATGGTGCGTGCTCCAATTATTCCATTCCAAATCCATCAAGCAACTTCTTTTTATACGCATACAACAAATTTGTTCACAGTGAGACAGCAGCGGAGCTAGCTTGTGGCAAGGGGTTCAATTAACTGCGGACACTCCGAACCGACTACTTCTAATTTCTAAATCCGCCTCTACTGTAAACTGTTAAACACCCATATTTACACGACCAGGTCACCTACTAGGTAATTATCAGTAAATAACCTAGTATCACAGTTAAAATTATACAATCAGATGAATACTAGTAAGTAGAAATAGTATAAAAGAGAGAGAGAGAGGAGGAGGAGGACGGACCAAAGGTTCGCCTTTGTGGAAGAGATTGGAGATCTGGAAATTAGGAACAGACGGATCGGAGGAGATTGGCTTTTTCGGCGAGAAAAACTTGGAAGCGAAGTACCAGAAAACCGCTACTCTTATTATCCCCGTCAGCATCTGTCCAACTCCTCCCTGCTGCCGCTGCTGCTGCGCAGGGGCCGGCTGTTCTCCTCCGCCACCTTCAATAACCGGCGGCGCCATTGCTTTGTCTTTACGCTACAATAATCTCTTGCCGACGGCGAAAAATATCGCGAGAAGTAGAGACTGAAAAAAGAGTGAGCGCGTGGTTTAAATATAAATATCAGGGCGATTGGAACAAGAAGATATTTGTTTAGCCGAAAGGAAAAGGGGTTTCTGAGGGAGAAGAGGAGTGTCTATGTTGGGACTTACGAGCGGCCACGACTGTTAGCAAATAGGACAGTGACACTTCGCAGTCTTTTACTTACTAGATGGAGTCTTTTACTAGTTGGAGTATTACACATAGGTCCAATCCATACACATATTACCATCCTAACTTTGCAAATCTATAGCCTAAAAAGATAATAAGCCTAGATCCGAAAATTCCAATATTTTTTCGCACAACTAATTGTTGCGGCCAATACTACTGCCTCGATGATATTCAACATTCATATATTTGAGGAGAACTAGTGAGGAATTGGTAGCATTTTTTCTTTGTGATTTTGGTGGGTTTCAATTAAATAGTTACTAAATAGATATGTATTTGAATTTAAATGAAGAAGAATTCAATTGAACAATTAGTAAGACATATATTTAAATATAAATAGATAAATAAAATAATTTTGCAGCTTTTTTGCTTTGTCAATGATAATATAGGCAGTTATTCCTTCTCACATACACATCATCACCAGATTATAGTTCTTTGCTTTTTTTCTTTAATGTCACCATTAGTAGAATTTAACCTAAAATAGAAATAAGTTAAAAATGAGTAAAGGAGGTTGTACAGCACGAGAAAAAGGTTAAAAAAAAAATATTTTCACTTTTATACATTCGTATACACTGGTATATACAATTAAAATTATACACGTAAATACATTTACACAATATATACACACACACACGCATGTATTTATAATGTTTAGATAATGTTCTATGTTATAAAACAATAAAAGAACAAGAGCAATATTGCAGAGAAAAGTATAGAGAGAGAATTCTTATTGAATTTTGGGATAATTTACGATGGAATAGGACCCGTCTATTTATAGGGAGAGGGTGACTTAGCCACCAAGTAATAAACCCTAGAATCTCTCTAAATATAGACATTCACCATAAATAAAATTTTATTTATAACACTCCCCCTTGAATGTCTATTCAACAGATAATGTGCCTCGTTAAAAGCTTAACTAAAATAAAACCCAGTGGAAAATAATTCTAGAGAAGGAAAAAGAGTACACATATCTAACAATACGCCTTTTGGTTGCCTCGTTAAAAACCTTGCAAGGAAAACCCGGTGGGACAAAACCTTGTAAGGAAAAAAGAGTACAACGCGTATTAACTCCCCCTGATGAGAGCATCAATTCACATCCTTAAGCATTTGCATTCCAATCTTGTGCACCATCTTCAAAAGATCTTTGGTAGATATTTGATAAACAAATCAGCCATATTAACTTGAATGAATATATTGCACCTTGAAATCATCATTCTTGATAGAGATGGATTATCTTCATATGATCTTGTTGTAACCGTCAGTTCAATATCTTCACATAGAGGTGAAACTCTTGGTATCATATTATCATGCCTATAGTTATAGCAAGATACATTTGTGCACAAGTTGCATTGAGGATGTAGTACTTCATGACCATGAATTCTATATGCTTTAAGCAATTTAAATTCTTCGGGGATTGTTAAGTCATATAAGCCATACAATAGACTTTAGATGCATATCAAGTTTTCATGTCATGCTAGACATATCAGATATCGAAAACTGATTGCACATACCATTGACTTTATACTTTCAAGTGTTTGAACTACATGTCCAAAACTACATGTCTTTCATATGAAACCAATTCTATTTGAATTGTTTCTCCAAACTTAAGATCCTCGTATATATTTAGCGCTGTCATAGATGTCGTCGACGAACATTTTATATCGGTTCCAACCTCCTTATTTTTCATAAAGATATGACATAGAGATCTCTCCATTCATATATTCAGGTACCTGAATCTTTCATGAGATTTTATGAAGTGTTATGTCATGTGATCTTCTAGATCACTTGCCTCCTTTATTATGATCATTTTGGTCATTTGCTCATCTTCTTTATCAAGAAGTTTATTTGAAACCGATTTGTCTATATGCTTTAAGCGTACCATAGACTTTGTCCTTCTAGGACTTAATAGGAGCATTTGCAACGAGAATATAGTTACTTTCTTTGGGTCAGCAAATGCGTCTTGCATGCTTTGCAATATATTGCAGATAAATTATCCTTTTATGAACTTCAAGTTCATATTATTTTATTCGAGGATCTAGATGTATAAATGATAATTCATTCCACGTAACCTTTTCTCAACTGTTTATCATGTCTCCCCCTCATGTTAGAAAAACTAACTTGTTTTCTCAACTTTGAGAACCCATCTTTGTGCGTTATGGTGTTAATCAAAATATACACCGCACATCAATAATAATAAGATGGAATTATTTGGTTCCTGACCATGAACCACTTGTAAGGGGAGAATGTAATATACTTTCGTATATGACCTATATCAAACCGATATAGATAACTTTGTTCTCATAAGCAATTGTTTAGCTATTAAGTAGAGGCACTTAATAAATCATTTTGCTAAACCAACTGTGATGTAAACCAACTTATCAAGATGAACTTCTTGAATAGAAAATCTGGAAATTATACTCGAAATTAAATTATTGAGCAAGTTACCTCGCAAAATACCATGTTGCGGGTTATTAATAATCGCACATGTAACCATCTCATAGATGCATCTTATGTGGTATACATGGCAGGTGAATGAGCTCATATTCACCTTTCATATTTCCAGCATTCATGGGATTCAATCCCAATTTTAATTGGTATATTAATTAATGAGAACATGCAATTTAATAGAATTCGTAAAGAACTTTCTAGTTTTTTAATATTTACCCATGTGAATTCTCTTTTATTTTTTTGCACATCATACTTAAATTGATATGGCTAAACCAATTATGCCAACTGAATAAATTATCAATATTGATAAACTTCAGATTTACGCCATGACGTGTGCAATTATCAATAAACTCCAAGTTTATTATGATATGGGTTTTTATATCAATAAATACCCACTTCATTGTGGTATTCTTTTGTTTATGTAGTACAAATTGAAGAATAAAGCTGTCACGACCCAAACTGATGGGCCGCGACAGGCACCCGGTACCTTACTCAACCGAGTACCAACATAACGTATCTTTCTTATTACATCATTATATACACGTGACATACGGGCCTAGTAGGCCAACATAATCATTTATAAACTCAAACATAGGCCGACAAGGCCGTACAATCTTTCACGTATACGACATATGTCTACAAGCCTCTAAGAATACATAAATGTCATAAAGATCGGGATAGAGTCCCGCCATACCAAAAAATACACGTCTAAATCATACTAACCAAACAAGCAACTCCGAAGCAAATGGAGCGCACCAACACCTGCGCTGAGCTGATAGCCTAATAGGAGGACTGTCAACCTATCAATCGGGACCTGCGGGCATGAAACGCAGCGTCCCCAGGCAAAAGGGACGTCAGTACGAATAAAGTACTGCGTATGTAAGGCAGGAAAGCATAAATAAGAACAGTAATGTAAAGAGAGATAGAGGAGCTACAACCTGTAACATCTGAGTGCCACTGGGGACTACTGACATGAAATGCATAACACATATATATACATAAACTTTTAAAAACATTCGCCTCTGTGGGCATCATCATCATCATATCGTACCCGGCCTCAAAGAGGACTCGGTAAAAACGTACCCGGCCATCATAAGGCTCGGTAGAATCATACCCGGCCACGTGGAGCTCGGTAAACCCAACTGATCAGTGGTTGCACAATAGGTGCCATACCCGGCCGACTATAGCGCGGCTCGGTAGAGTAAAATAGATACATATATATAATGCATGCTCGACTCATGGAATCACGTTTTAAACCTTTCGGAGTGACGTAAGAACATTATGGACATACATACCTGTTTGGCTCAAAAGTTAACGATATACTTTGTAAGCGATAAAACAATCAAAAAAATAGGGAAGGGGTAAATCGTAATCAAATATAATAAACCTAGAGATGCAAAGATGATAATATTGTTGTAGATCTAGTGTTGCTAGATGATAATGTATGTTCATAAGATATTTTCGTCAGAAGTAGAGATATAGAGAGAGAAAGACAGAAAAGGAGAGAGTTGTATTAGATCAGCTGATGGCCTTTGCAATGTGGAGGTCCCCTTTATATAATAGGAGACCTTCCTCGAAAGAATCAAAAAGTTACAGAGATAGGTAACGTCTCCCTAGTGTAGACGCTGAGTTCTAAACGACGTCGCTTTGGTCCTCATGGCTGAGTCGTACCCGCTACGTTTAGTCGGCGTACACTCATTGGGCGTACCTACTGGCGTAGAGATACTGAGGGTCCAATTTGACCCTATACAATACCCTCAATATGAGCTTCACTAGGACTTACGGATCATACATACTTTAGAATAACTTTGTACGGAAAGAACAACATGGATAACCTTAGTTGCTAGGAGTAGATTCATTATGAAATAGCGTATTCATTTCACATTCGATCATTGCCAAAAGAAAAAAGGGATAGCCTTAACATACCTGGAGTAGGGAAAAATTCATATAATATTCTTAGCGAGGATAGCGCCGTACTTTTTTAGAACCGCAAAATTTGGACGGAATTAAGCTTCTGCTCTTGGCGTTACAGTGTATGAACCAAGCAAGAAAATGTTTTTGCTATTGTTCGTTTTCTCGTTTTTGGTTCAATACATAATACAAATGTAAATTGTTGTTGCTTTTGAAATTTCAATTGAGATTTTTTTTTGGCTAAGAGTGTTGACGAGAATGACTTCTGCCCAACGTTTTTTGTCTTGAAAACCAAATCAATCAAATGAAGCTAAAGATCCTAAATGGAACTAAAGGCAAAATTGGAAATTATTGTTTGAAATGGAAAGCTTCTGCTTTCAACGTCCTTGGCTTTAAATGCTAAGGACAGATTATGGAATTTGAAGCCTTTTCAAGGAACTTCTTCAAAATGCCATGGATAAGTCTTATTCAAGAATTAAGTCATGATCTTGGCTATTACATTAGCCATCTGGCAAATGTGATTACATTAGTCATTCCAATTTTTGTGGCTTCTTGCCACGTGGGGTGAGGTGGAATATTAAATTTTATCCACTTATTAGTTAACCGGGTA